ACAGAAAGTCCCTTGGAGCCTAGCAGTTTAACTAAATTAAGTGCACTTTATATAAAACAATCATAAACAATTTAACAAATTGGTGAAATATCAAATTCAGAAGCTTAGCAGCAAAAGCTCTCACCTGGAAACTGTTTGCTGCTTCAGCTTCTAGCCAAACAGCTTTAGTAAAGGTTACAATACTTTTAAAATTTAGACCAGACAAATGGAAACATTCCTAAAATTCATCTTTGAGAATCTAAGATCAACGTTTCAGAGACTTACCAAATTTGAACAAACAACCACAATCTGTTTCTCCAGCAATGCCCCTGCAAACATTGTCAACACCTGCAAGTGCAAGACAAATCAATATTGGTAACAACTGAGAATCAAAGCAAACTACACCCATTTAAATTACCATTATTCAACTTAAGAAACTAGAGGAAATAAACACATTCCACATAATCAACTAAAATACATGTCCGACAGACATTTGCCCGGTAATGACTTAGTAGAAGATTATTATATGCTGATAAAGAAAAAAAAAAATAGGCAGATGATTATTATATAAGCACTGGAAAATTTCAGTTGTTGATCTCATAATAGCAATCACACAACAAGGCCTGAGAACCTAAAAAAGAGTTTTGGACTGCATGATGACTTCACTGGATAGATTTGCCTTTTAAACCATTGCAGAAATAAATTTGGCAGAAAAAATTCTCACGCATTTAGCCTAAAAAAGAAAGCAGAATATCAACAACAATCAACTTAATAGAACACTAGAAATAGTTTACCATGCTTTATGGATAAAATATGGACAAAAACTCACATGTTCAAGTCGCAAGGATCCACACATGCATGCAACAGCCCATGTTGACAGTGCAACTGTTTCCTCTTCAGCCAAGATTGCACTGTGTGCCTGATAGAAGCAAACATCAGTAAGATGCCATTGACATGCTAAAATATCAAAATGAGAAATGCAACACGTATGCTTCTAAGTTAAACTAAAACCACAAGTACATTGATTACAAGAAACTGTCTGATCCAATGAAGATATTAACATATTTTTTTGCTGGTCAAAGCAATTAACAGATTTACCTCCGCAATTTCAAGACTTGTCCTGCAAGACCTCAAATCAATAGTTGAACCCGCAATATTTAAAGATGATATATCAGGTCTATGATATTCCAAAGGATGAAGGTGCTCCAAAGGATGAAATTTAAGGGTTGAACCTCTTGAAGGGCAACGTAAACGGTAATATTCACATAATATTTGCAATGATCCATGATTGTTTGACTGTAAATAGGGAAAACAAAATATTTTTAATAGTTTAAAGGAAAAAAGGGTATGGTGCAAAGGGATCTAACTCACTCCTAAGGATTTGAAGGGGCAGATACTTTACCTTAGCCCAGTCAAGAATATCAATATGATCACTGGAATCTTCCTGACCAGATGTTGATGTCTCTTCAGTCTCTGTATCATCCACATCACTTCGAAAATTCCTGTCATCACAAGGGGAACCTTGAAAACTGCATAGAAACATTTAAAAGGCATTTGTCAGCCAAAGGCACATGATTGAAACATCTCAACCAGGAAAAGTGTGGCTATGTAAGTCCATGCATAGATGTATATTGAGTTTATTAAAATGGCCTACCTGCATGATGATTCAGAGCTCTCATATTGATAGTAACGAAGGAGTGGCAGAACAGCACTAGGCAAAGGTCTTTCTGCTGTTTGCTTGTTTGTTGTAAACCCATGAACATCAACGTCATAATCTTCAGGATTTGCACCATTAGATTCTCTTTTTACTGCAACTATTTCATCTTCCAGATCAACTGGAACAACAACACTATGATTAGGAGATTTTTTAGAGTGAAAATCCCTCTCAAGAATCTGATGCTCCAGCCCTTGCCCATCATCATCAACAACTCTTCCAGGTTTAGAATCTTCAAAACTTAACCCAGAGGCTCCTGTTTTTGAGTTTGGTGCAACCTCCAGAACTCTACGATTTGGTAATATGTCGTACATGTTTTCTTCACTATCATAACCTTCTGACAATTCCAAATCCAAATCACCAATACTTTTTGTTAACCGTTCCAATCTTTCTTCGTTGAAGATGCTACACAAAAATAATAAAAATGTCATGATGACCACCTAGACATTTGTCCACATATGGTATCAAGTAGGATCATCTTCAATGAAAAGAGTAAGTAGGTTGCAAAATGTATATACCAAATCATTCCATTAAAAATCCATTTGTGAGGTTTTCTTTTAAGAGTTTTGTTCCAATGTTTTGCTCTGGATCTCATTTTTATGTTTATAGCAATAATCTAAAGAAGCATAGGTCTTTCACACAAAGAAAAAGTGAAACAATTTAGAAGGCAGATATTCTTAAAAATGATAAGAGAAAAAGGAAAATGACTCACAAATAAATATAAAAACACACCTATTCAACACACCAAAGTGCATCTCAAAGAATGGAAGTCTTGAAAGAATGCAATAACATCTGCGAGTGGTCAGCACATAACGACTCAGAGGCCGGCAGGCAGGTGGTCTATCTGAAATCATGGAAAGCAACCCAGAGGGCTTTTGGACAATTTCCTCGACTAACACACAGCATCCGTACAGAGTGGAATTATCAGCAACCTAGTAGATAAGAACTGCAGGGTGATTCATCCAACAAATTGAAAAGAGATAACAATAATACAGTGACATTCAAAACCAAGCCTGCAGCTCAAGAAACATATTTTACTGTCATGCAACCAAAAAAAAGGAAAAAAAAGACAATGTGCTCTAGTGGGCAAAGCAACTGCAAACCAAACCTTAAATGACAACAAATAATATGTAATAATCCATTCAAGTTGAAGATCAAACAAAGATGAGTTTGAGGTTCACAAAAAAATAATAATAATAAGTAATAAATTAAATTAAATTAAATAATTCAATAACACCCTCAATCAGTAGACTAACAACTCAATGAAAAGAAATCTAAACCCT